ATCTTGCTTTTCCCTTTGTGTATGTTGAGACCTACTGCTGCTGAGGCTGCTGCTACATTGGTCGTCTTCGCCTGCATTTGTTGTTGCGTTTGGGATAGAAGGGCCAGATCATCTGCGAAGTCTAGATCGTCTAACTGCATCCTAGATGTCCACTGTATCTCGTGTTGCCCTTCAGATGTTGACGTCTTCATAATCCAGTCGATCACCAGGAGAAAGAGAAAGGGTGAGAGTAGGCAACCTTGCCTGACACCAGTCTTTTCTTCGAACGAGTCTGTCAACTGTCCTTCATGCACGATTTTGCAGTTTAAGCCATCATAGGAATTCCTTATGACATTGACTACCCTTTGAGGCACGCCGTAGTGTCGAAGCGGCTTCCATAGTGTTGTTCTGTCCACGCTATCAAATGCTTTTTCGTAGTCAATGAAGTTGATGTAGAGTGATGAGTTCTATTCAATTGATTGTTCCACAATGATCTGTAGAGTTGTGATTTGGTCTGTACACGATCTATCCTTACGGAATTCAACCTGCTGATCTCGAAGTTGGACGTCTACGGAGTCCTTCATTCTGTTTAACAATACTCTGTTGAAAACTTTTCTTGGTATTGGGAGAAGAGTGATGCCCCTGTAGTTATCACAGTTGCTGAGATCTCCTTTCTTTGGTATTTTGATCAGGCGTCCTTCTTTCCAGTCTTTTGGTACTTGTTCCTCATCCCAGATCTCATTGAAGAGAATGTGGAGTATCCTTGCAGTTACTGCTACATCTGCTTTTAGTGTCTCTACTGGAATGTTGTCTGGTCCTGCTGCTTTGCCACTCTTGATTTGTGTGATGGCCATGCTTATCTCTCCAATTGTTGATAGGCCAACATTGATTGGGAGGTCCGTGGGTGCTGCTTCGATGTTGGGTGGGTTTAGTGGGGCTGGTCGACCTGAAGGTTCTTTTAAGTGTTTTACACACGTGTTTCGCTGTTCTTCAATGTCGGTGATTACTTTGCCTTCCTTGCTTTTCACCGATCGTTCTGGTTTAATATAACTTCCAGCGAGCTTCGTTGTTGTGTCCTACAGCTGTCTCGTGTTTCCTTCTCTTGCAGCTTTTTCCGCCGTCGTTGCTGGATCTTCCACATATTTACGTTTGTCGGCTCTGAAGCTTCTCTTTACTTGCTTGTTTGCCTCTGTGTATTCAGCCTGTGCCTTGACTGATATTGATTGCTGCCTTCTTGTTCCTCATTTTTTGAATCTTATCCAGTGTATCAACAGTGATTCATTCTTCTCGATGGTGTTTCTTGTGGCTCAGAACCTCATGACATGTTGAAGTGATTGCCTCCTTGATCCCTTTCCATTTGTTCTCCATGGTAGTTCCCCCGCCATTGAGTAGATCATGAAGTGCCTGTAACCTATTGCTGAGGACTATCTTGAATTCTTTGAGTCTCTCAGTATTCCAAAAATGGCTGTATTAAACTTTTGTGATGTTGTCCACTCCGTTGTCCAGAACTTCTTGAGTTTCAGTTTTATCATGACAATCAGAAAGTGGTGATCTGAGGCTATATCAGCTCCTTTCTTGGTCCTCAAGTTCTCCATGATCCTTCTGAACTTCTTATTAATGCACATATGGTCGATTTAGTTCTGTGTAGTGTGATCGGTGAATTCCGTATGGCTTTGTGTATGCGTTTATGTGGGAATATGGTGCTGCCTATGACCAGTTTGTCGAAGGCACATAGGTTTGCGAACCTCTCACCATTTTCGTTTCTTTCTCCCAGTCCATGTCGTCCCATGATGTCTTCATGTCCGTTGTTGTCCATTCCAACCTTGGCATATAGATCTCCCATCAGAATAGTCAGGTCCTTTGTTGGGCACTTCTCGATGATTGACTGCAGCCTATCGTAGAATTGATCTTTAACGTCTTCATTGTAGTCGTTGGTAGGAGCATAGCATTGGATGATGTTCATTGAAATGCCCTCTTTCTTTGTTTTCAAGGAGGCTTTGATAATCCTGGGTCCGGGAGATTCCCATCCTATAAGTGCATTTTGTGCTTCTTTGGACAGCATCAATGCAACTCCTTGTGTATGCTGAGCATTTTCTTCTTCATGGCCGGATTATAAGAGAAGCTCTCATGAAGTCAGTTTTTTTGTCCAACTTGCGTGCAATATGTTTCCCTGATCCCAAGCACCTCAAGGTCGTATCTCCTCATTTCTGCATCAATTTGGAAAGCTCTCCCGGTGTCCCACATTGTACGAACATTCCATGTACATAAAGAAATGGTTGCTTTGGTTGTCAGAAGGGGCTTCGTAACTTCCGAAGGAACTCGGCTTTCATCATGAGGCTTCATAGTTATTGTAAATGAAGACCTTCTGATTCACAGGGCAGAGTTTAAGTAGTTTAAATAATTTTTTCTGGTTAGCGTATTTTTAGCGAGTTAGTTTTCAACGAAATGGGGCCGCTAACCCCATGCTCAACCCTCCTCCTTTATCCGGGCTTGAGACCAGCAGTAGCCTCCGGAGGGACTCCAATCGGAGTTCCTCTACCAGACGTGGTTTGTTTCAAAATTTACTTCTAATTATAAGTCATATATGGAGTCCCATTTATGGATGGTTTCTGATATGTTGAACGATATGATTTCCAAACCAATGGAATAATACCAAAAGTAAACCTGACTAACATTTATAATTTTGTTTCATGTGGACCAATCCAGTCAAGTGCATAGTCAACCGTAAATTAATTAACAGAACACTTTGATCATCAGAAATTTCGTTTGTTGGTTTTTAATCAGATATCAAGTATACCTTTTTATTCTTCCTCATTTTTAGAAGGTGTCAACAACACACCTTCTATTGAAACTATTACTCTTTCATTCAAAACATCTTCATGATGACACTGTTGGTTTATTAGAATATTGAGATAGTTGAGGACGCGTGAAGATTTTAGTGATCTGATTAAACAGGTAAGTGGTCAGACAACAAAAATGTAGTTGTATTTCAGAAAAAAGAACATCAAAACAAGTGAGGTAATTCTATCTGCGGGAAATGCAGCTCATTTATTTAACGGATATTCAATGAATGTCTTATATCTCAAAATCCCGTCAGTTATTCAAGCATAAACATTTAGATTTCTGCACACATGAGAAAACTGGTCATTAAACCATTCATATATATAATGATGTACATGTCTAATCAAGTAGCGAGATTGCGTTACGACCTTCCATTGTCTATGACAAGTACTTTCCTCACACCCAACAAGGACTGAACTTCACTGGTCGCAATAAAAGTGTGAATTTGTGACCAAATGTAGTGTGGAGTATAATACAAATTATTTGATGAATACTTAGTCATTTTTAGACCTCTAAATCGATCCGTAAAGACAACTGTGCACAATACTCAGTCAATATGATATTTTACATTATATATTTTGTAGTACAATTACTACCACATTTTATGATCAGGGTAGCTTGTTTCAATACTTTATTTTCAAATTGTTTATTTCCAATGCTGTACACAGGGATGAAGTTTATCTTCAAACTCTGGTTCAAATGATGAACGGTACCGGATTGGAATGCGAAAGACAGTCAATAATATTCTATCTCAGTCCACAGATACAGTCAATTGACGTATTTAATAAAACGGGGAATACAGATGATATAACATTGAAAACTGCTTTAAATCCAGTATCCAAGTCGGTTCAGTTCACAGTAAGCTTATGCGTTTTGTTGCATATTGAAGTTAAATCACAAAATTTCACAGATTCGAACATGGTAAACGTAAACTGTATTAAACGAAAGGAACGTAAGGCATTGACAAGCAGAAATAGTTTGCTTCCGATTGTTGTGATTTGTTCCCAATCTTTGGTAACATTCATGTCATTTGTAAAAATATTATTAAAGATTTGCAAACAGTTTTTCAAAGTCTCACATGAACTGAATTCTATTTTGAGAAATAACTTCACATAGGTTTTCTGAAATGAATAATCGGTTGTTCTTTATGGCAGTATATTAAAGTTTTCCAATTATTCGAAAATGAAGTGTCATTTAAATTTCAAAATGTAGCATTCTTGTGAGTTAGATAACCAACTTTTCAGACTTGAAATGACCAGTCAGATTTCTACTAGAAAACTTATTGCTTAAAGTAAAACATTCCGTTGGCGTTATCGACTTCTAATAATCGCCCGAATAACCGTCGTCATTATAACTCCTTGACGGGGTATTATTTCCAGAAGTCGAAATAATAAATTAGTGCCAATAGCTTATTTCAGGCAACGCTTAAATAGAACAACTGATACTCACAAGGTGATGAAGACCAATTAATGAGTGCTGCTTAACAAGCCACCATATATGCATGTGTATGCGAAGATTCAAGAGATTTAAGCAATTACAAATTAAGCGGATAAAAGGACTAAGTGCGTGGGCTCTCACAAACGGTCAGTCATAAATGCTACCTTATACAAGCATGAAGATATATATTTATAAGAGAACAGTCTGTATGCGAAATCGGTTGATTGAACGGCATGGTAAATTTGATCACAGTCAAAGCGATAATATTTTTAAAACCGAACCCGGCCACGATACAATATTTCCATTACATACATCGTGTTTGACAATAATCAATAGAAATCCTACTGTAATGTTCTATGTCCGTTTTTAGCTGAACTTATTTGACATTTTAGGAAAACCAATTTACTACAGAGTTACATATGTCAGTTTTAAATCATTTGTACTGTTGTAAAACTGAAGCTGTAGTCTTTGTATTCTTAAGTTTTTCATATAATACTATGAAATGGAATTGTTCATATTCAGTTTTGAGATTCACAATTATTCATTTAACCTTATTCTAGGCAGTTTATTTTGAAGACACTTGATAAACCGATATATGTGTGGTTTTTTTAACATTAGCTTAGACTTATGGTTGGATTGAAAAAAAAACTCAATATTTGTTAATCATTTGAACTACTTATATACGTCCAATTTGTTCAGAAACAACACTTGTTTGTCATCACTTCTTTTATTCCTCTATTTAGACTGGTCATTTATACTTTGGTAAAAGCTACACAGCTATCTTCCGATTGAAATTCAAATCGTCTCGGACATCTGTTGAAAAATACCCAGTTCTAATCGAAGTTGTATGTAAACCGTATGAACGCAATATTTCTGTCTTTAGTGGCTGTGTAAGATCAAAATTTTACAAATTTAGATCTCATATACATGTAGAACTTGACTACCATACATACTCATGTGAGTTTTATTTCTGTATATTATTTAAAAACTATTTATAGCTACCGATTTGTGAATGCAACATAAAAAATAAGTTTATGTCATATAATTTATTCACCAGTTTATAAGTGAAATCCACTATTTCGATGACTGTTTCCCATCTTACTTTTTACCCAAAAGCAATGTTACAACCATGATGAATTTTCATACACATATTTCCCTTTATCATAGTTGGAAAGAGCAAGAACAAAGATTTTAGCAGAATAGCATGAATTCATTTTATTTCCATAGGAATAAAATGAGTAGAGCTCGCTTCTGAAATTTGCTGAAGCCATTTCCATCAGGTGTCAGAAACCTGACTTATGTGTCCAAAAGGAGACGGTTATTAATCTCTCTTTGCCTTGGTGACTAATATTCTTTCGTTTAATCTTTTTTTCCTTTTCTCTAAACTCTTTCTTGCATTTATTTCATCATTGAGTTTTGTTTCAACTATTTTCCAAATTAATAATCTCATTTTATCAACTGAGCTCTACTCGTTTTATTCCTATCAATGTTTACGAATTATGTAATCACTTGTTTCTAGCCCTTCGAACCGTTGTCACAATTAGTATTTTAGAATGTTATTTCACACAAGGTATATATTTACAACATTTAGTCTATGAATTTTAATTTACACTCTTGCTATACTATATGAATATGTCTTCCAACCAAACTCTTTCATGTAAGTAACTTTAATGCATTATGTCATTATAATTTTAAATATCACAGGTTGTAAGCAGCTAACTAGAACCTACGAGATAAAATGCATTCATGCTATTCTGCTAAAATCTTTGTTCTTGCTCATTTCAACTATGATAAAAACTGCATAACGCAACTTGATTTTAAGAACCATTTGTGTCGACAAATGTATAGATAATTTCTTAGCATGGAAACATTCCGTGGTAAACGTTTTATTGGACTGTATTGTAAGGAATTGGATTGACAAGATATATCAACATTAATTAAGACATTTATCCGTGTTGGCCAAAATGATTTAGAAAAATCGAAATTTCTCACATTAAGTCAAGGATCTTGGTTTTTTAAACAAGACAACTGTGCAATGCGACATAGTCTGTCCAGTTGTTTCGAATCTCATCAGTTTACTAGACAGACTGTTAATTTTACCAAAAGTTGTAAATAATTCAGAGTTTTTCCCTTTTGTTAAGAATTTCGTATAACTGAGTGTTGTAATGTCACCGATAGTCAACCGACTGATATTACTAAAATATCAGGATAGGAACAATATACTTATGCAAAGATGAACATCAGACAGAAAACCAAATGCATTTGGACAGATTTTGACAAAATTTTAAATATTCTCAAAACATTCTGTGCACTGCAAGTACGGTTTACTTTTTGCTTGAACTTCTCCTAGTCTAGTTATCGATAGATTGAGTAGCAAGTAACATTTCGCAAATTCCTCATATAGTCAAATACTTAGCAGTTCAGAGTTTCAAACAAGATCTACGATCATTGTGTATTAATTTCAATGATGGTCATTCTTAATAATGAATGTCCATGTGACGTAACATTAGTTGCATAACTCTCAAGCACATGGTACCAACCAACTTAGAAAATCAACAGTAATAGTTACTGAATAAAATATACACATCAGAACTCATTAATTTGTTATTTAGAAGTATGCAATATATTAGCACAAAATAGTCTTAACTGTTTCATCGTAATTTGCCTTGTCAATTGGAGGAAGTGATGTAAAGCAACCGAGATAATAGAAAAAGACAATAGTCACGCTACTTTGGAAAGTAAATCAAAACTGATCTTTTTATGGTAGGTTTAATGTAGGTACAGCAGCCTGTTTTTGAACATTTAAGGGAGGGAGGGAGGTTTAACTTTCTCATGTTTGGATAGACACACTTGAGAACTTCCATGAAACAATACAAAGGTGGATTCTAAATAAATTTACTATCCATCACCGAACTATAGGTTGATGTACGCATACATATTTGACTGAGAAGGTTTGGACATGTTATAGGACTATCATATGTTAATGAATGTTATTGAATATCCTTTTGTTTCATCTTTGTTATACAATACCGTTCACGCATACAATGTTAATCATATGAAATGGACCAGTGCCAAACTATGATGCTGTGGTAGATAATAATAGTTAATCTTGATGTAAATTTCTGTATTCAGATCCATGTGATTTGCCTCATTACAAGGCATTGCGGAATCCTGCTGTGCCGTTGCCTAGTCGTCAGTCAGATACATTCTTAAATGTTCGTGATCGTCTGTTTTACTGTGGACGTGCATTTAATATGAAGGGGTCATTTGATTTGGAGAAACGTTGCTTTATGATTAGCAAATTACCTGACAGAATATGGATCGGTAAGTTATCATAGAAATTTCAGTTTTGTTATTAGTCGAATGCTATTATTTATAGTTGAAAGACTAAGTTTATTCAGGGATTCGTTGCAATAATATTCATTTCGACAGAAATACATTACAACTCTAAGCTTGACGAATTGAGTTTCTCCAAGTTGTGAGTATTACATGGTCGTTTTCACCATAATGTTAGCCTTCATTCATTAATAAATTAACAAATAACAGTCTATATATACAACATCTAATTTATATCTTTGTGTGTTTTAGTTGTTTAGAATCGGAATACATTGCCCTTGTGATTATCTGAATATGTTTTAGCACTTCAAGATGATTGAGACAAATAAATTGAAGGATGTTTCTTGTTAGAATCAAAGAAATCGACCATCCTAAACAGTAAACCATTTATTACTCCTGTGGTGCTTCTTGTGTTAGGCAATGTTGAATATACTGGATATGCGAACTATTTTAGTCTAGCCAAAGTCCAAACTAAACAATCATACGGATATTGATTTTGTTAGAAACATACATATTTAGACTCTTCAAAATTATTATTTGGTTATTGATAAACAACCACTATTTCATCACCCACAATGATTACTAAACATCACATGAGGCTCTAGCGAACATTCGAATGTCACAAAATTGTCTCTGAATCCAGTATCTGATTACATAAATTCTAAACGCTTAATATAATGACATATTACTCTGACAAAAATGAGAAATAGTCTCCTTTTTAGTCTGTTATCTGAGTGAAATTTAATTATATTATTTATGAATACAAAATATTAGGCATAAACATCCAACTCTACAAGCTAAACCGTTATGTAAATGAAGAACATTTCCAAATTGATTCAGATTTTTGAAGGATCGAATTAACAAAGTGGTAGAAAATACCTTCAGTAAGAAATGATTTTCACATTGTATGTTCATTGATATTATTCAAATTTCACTGATTGAAGATATTCTTAGTACGAATTTACGAGAAACATATTCGTCAAACATTCTGTTCAGTAATACTCTGATACGAATAATGGAAATCTTATTATACCTAACTTTTAATTTCTAGACATGGGACCATTTGTTGAACAGATTATAGCGTACACAAATCCACTTGGCATATTGTTCGGTTTGGGAGCAAATGGTGGAGGTGTAATGATGAGTAAGAACTTTGGAAAAACATGGATTTCAATCAACTCATTCATGTATCAAAACACTTTGAATACGTCAACTGAAATCATTACAGCAAGTGTCGTACCATGGATTTCATCAACTGGATCAATTGACAATACACTGTTTGAGTCATTTTGCAAGATGCGAGTGGCTGAACAATGGAATGGTAAGGGATATGGAGTTACGAATTTCAGCGAAAATATCATCACTCTGTTTAATTGAATGCACAAATATGAACTAAAATTTAAAGCGAATGAACTGATGTTGGATCAGTCAGAGTAGAGTAGGACATCTGATATATTTTGCTTTTATAGTCGAAGGTGCCAGAAGGATTAAGTGAAACAAATGTGAGATAAAATTATGGATAATTTGATAGAAAATTTGACATTTGTGAAATGAAAATCAGGTAATTACAATGAGTTAAGGATAATGTAAGTGATAAACTAGGAAATACTCCATTTGCGTACAAAGTTCAGAGTTCCTCTAATGGATAACTAAAGCTTTTGTATTGAGGATCCTGGTAGATTTCTAAGGTTTCTATAAATGGCCATAAAATCAACATGTGTGTTAGTTCAATGATCACAATCAATTGAATGTTCAAGGTCTCCCTTCGAATTTGTAGGACCGAACTGAAAAATGTTCATGCAACCAGACAAGATTTTTGCCACTATATGTGGTGTATTGTGTTCTACTTATATGAACAGATATAAGTAGAATGTTTCAGGAACTGGAAGTAGGATCCTTACAGACAGAAGAGAAAAATGCGTAGCAAGGAAAGAAAAACAAAAGGAACTGGAGTAATAACGGGAATGAAAGAACAAAGAAGTTTGTAAAAGATAATTCAAGGAAGATGTGCTAATGGTGTATTCGATGAATTGTTTTGCAAATTGCTTTACAAGTAAATGCAGTGTGTAGTTCTTTCTCGGTAAACAGTATTACTTACACCGTTAGTACTGCATGTTCGTCATACTACCCTCCTTTATATGTCGCTATTCGAGTCAGTTTCTGTAGTTAAGATTCATAACTGAATATGGACACATTATCATAATCTACAAACACAAGTGATATAATTTTCATTGTTTATACAGATTGAGATTCATTCACTCTTTTGAAATTAGTGGATGTTGATAACCAGTGTTTATCCATTCGATAATCTAGTTCGTTTATTAAACATACAATAAAACCAGTGGAATTGATAGAAACATAGTATTTATGATAATAAACAAACAAATATATGTTCACTTAAATAGCTTACTTCAATAGAATTTTGATTATTTAGACTTAAAGTTTGTCCATTACAAACAACACATAACGTGGAAATCAGTAAGTAGGTCTCATACGTGATTTCGTTCAGAACAGTATAATCTTACTTGTTTTCATATAATTTACCTTTAGTTTGCATCAACCAAATCTATGCCAACCAAATGTTGTTAGCTAATTGGACTTACACATGTCCGAAAATCAAGCTGTTTTAACCAACCAATTATCTCCACTGGAAATACGAACATTGCTTAAACACTGGTGAATTTAAGTCGTGTTAGATTCAGGTTGTATACGATTATGTAGTTGTCAGTTAATTTCTATTTATACTGTTGTCTTATTATTCATCTAAAAATTTACCTATTTTTAATTAATTACATGCTTGTAAAACTTCAGTTTCTTTTGCTTTGATGATAACAAATATCGTTTGAGTAACAAAATAGTTGAAAGTTAAACCTTTGGGTCTGTTACTCGCCAATGTAAGAACCGAATTTCGAAGTGTGTTCTGTTTCAGTGAATAGTTAGTTTGATTTTAAAATTCATAGTGATGTCATGTAAAGCTCTGTAAAAGTGAAAAGCAAAATGACTGCACACTTGATGGTAGACCTAGATTAGATTCTCTGTCGTGGAATGACGGCACAAAATCCATGTATTTGAGTAAATGATGTACTTACAAAGTAAAGATTTATACTGTTTTAAAGTCACTATAATTCCAACAAGAAATGAGTTAAACGTTATTCCATGCTAAATGATTGAAGGAGAGACATCCAAATGTGAAACGTATATAAATGCTAGTTAGTGACCATGTCATATCGAACTAAAAACTTGTACATGTACGTGGTTGTGAAGTCATTAAAAACCGTGACAGACTAACAATCTCATTCAATAGTGATTGAAAATTCTACGGATATGAGTTTATATCTCTTGTTGAAATTGTTGGAATAAACTGTTAAGGAATGCAATATGGATGTCAGATGTATATTATTTTTTGAGAATTGGTGCTTCTGACTGGTTTTTATAATGATCAAACTAACCTCACCTATTGAAAAGCATTTAATTTCAGAGTTATTACGTCAACTGAATTTGTATCACCTGGAGAATATTTTCATTAAGGGTAAACACAGTCCATTACCACTGTGAAGTCATTTCAAGGGATCGATTGGTCTCTGTGCTCAGGTATTATTAAATTCAAAGCTTATAACCGTGCAAGTGGAAGCTCTATCTTGTCAATATTGCGCATTGCGTATGATCCAGGATTTGAAATAATTTGGGATTGCTTGAAATGGACCGAGGATTGACTCCAAATGTACACTCACTAGATAAAAGATACCTAGATGTGTTACTAAAAGCATTTATTGTCCAGAATTCCACTCTTTGTGAAGAATGAGACTCTCCGCAGTTATGAAATTTGGTTATGAACGCATGTTAATTTCTCACATTTTCGACGATTTCTGAAATAGAATATGGAGTATGGGAAGCTTTCGATCAATTAGTTCGTGTATCCATTTAAAAGAATAATTAGTTTGAACGAATAAAGACCGTAAGAGCCAACTTGTCCCTTGGAAGCGTAAGAAACTAAATTGCTCACAAACTCAAAGTAAGAACTTAGAATAACAATATGATCTGATGGAACCTTCTATGTCTAAGATGACTGAAATTTCATTTCGAAGCTTTTGGTGTGAGCTTAGAACGAAATATATTGGATTGCGGTTTGACTATGAATTTCGAATATCCAATATTTGGAGATAAATGATCTTTCTTATCGAAAGCTCTTTTGGTAACTAGACATTTAAACAGCATATATTGCAAGTCTTATTCCCTGAATAAAAACAATTCTGGTCTTTGTATATATATTTATATATACATACACATGAGAGAGCATTTATACAAGCGCTGATTCTTGAGGTACTGCACTTCTCAAAGATCTAAAGATAGTCAGTCTAAGGTTTAGTCGTGCTCTCTCATAGTTTAAGGAAGTTCTCGGTTTTAATAAATAAAATAGCGTTGAAATAAATGAAGGCAGTTTAGGTGTGCATGATTTATGAATTACCAGCTAGAATATAGAAACGTTTTTGTACTTTGGTGCAAGACATATTTCATTCAATTCTACAATCGAAAAACGCGAAGGAAGTGTTTATTGCGTATAAAATATGTGCAAACCGTGATATGACGGCATGAGAAGAAAAAATTACATTTACCACTCATTGTGATTTCTATTCAACATTAGTTCTGTTTCTAATTTAGTATGGTGATTAGTCGGTGCAGTATTTGTCATGATTCTGGGCATTTTTCATATGTGGCTATTTTGTAATCAATAATCTAATTGATTTACAAATGAATATGCTAGTGCGGGTATTTCCGACTTTGTTTATCGTCTTTTCGAGTGAATGGATCTTCACTCGTCCCAGTCGGTTTTGTTCCTATTTTACGGCGTGTGAATTGTAGTGGTTTATCGTTTTAAGTATAAGTGATAGGCAACGAGAATGTAACAAACCGTATCTCGTAATCTCTGACTTCTGGATTAAAATCAGCTTTATCAAAGCTATGCAACACGAATTGATCTGAAAAAGCTATATATTTTGAAGAAGTTACAGATGGATGGTTAAGAGAAGAAAAATAAAAATTTTACAATAGGTTCTAGCAAGACTTTTTCTGTTGAAATCAGTTTCTCACTCACACATCCACCATGGTTTCCTATGCAACATATAACTATGACAAAACGTACAAATACTGGTTGATGTTGAATGTGTGGACAAAAACGAAAAGGTGTTAGGTGTTTTCAACCCATTATGAGATTGTGAAAGCTTATGATAAAATGTACTTTGCATATTGTTTAAAAATCCCCGTCATATTAAAAGACTAATGTATGAATGGAGAATATTCAATGAATAAATGCCAGTTATTAATGCGAAAACTGGCGAGGTGTTAGTTCTATCGAAGCGTCCAATTCATCCAATGGAGATTCAACGATTTGTCTAAAATGGCGGTTCTTTGTTGAATAATATACAAAACTTAGTTACAAATCTCATCTTATGAGGTGTCTACTGCGTTTACCGTGTCCTTTTGTATGAAATAAGAAATGGCTTCGATAGTGCAAAAGACAGCTGTTAGTTGCGTCTAAACTTGGTAACAGTTTATCAACAAGCAAAAACCGAACCAAGTGCAAACAATGTGGAAACCGTTGCGTTTAAACAAGGGTTAAGCAAATGTACAAAATCGTGGATAACTGTTACAGTGATTGAGATAAAGTAATTATGATGATAAAAGCAATAGATGTTATAAGTATATGTAAACATCTCAGAATCTTACAGGACAAACTTGCGATAAAGCATATGTGTAGGAATTACTAGCAATACTACTATTTACTGAATGTAAATAAGTAGTATGAAACAATATGCAAAAGAGTCGGAGAGAAGTGAATATGGACGGAGAATAGAAAACATACTTAACACCAGATTTACGGCAGTGTTCATCGTTTAAAGTCATAGCATGTGAACTTAGGATGGTTATACAAAATTTGGTGTTTTAATGACTAGTTTGCAATGTTAACTTGAATCAGGTTTACGTTAAGTTGAATTATGAACTTCATGGTCAGGGGTAACAGGCGTAAATAAGTAACACATATGAAAATATACATTTTAAAATATACCATCCAGTATGTGTTTCTGATCACAACGTCTTATCCAATCTTCATAATTCATATGGGAGTTCGTTTATTAACAATCAATAGTAAAAAAAAGTTCTGAAATGTTATGACTAACAGAATATTTAAAAGTCATGTAAGTTTTCAAATGAATTGAAAGTTTTTACTACATAAGTAATCCTATCTATTTTGGCATTTGACTGTCATATAACTGTCAGACCTGAAGTGAAAGTTAACACAATGGATTGAGTTAACACATATCCTCATGAGGCGTCATAATTCTTCCTTCAAATCACAGGGAAGAGATTTATTTGTTGAATCTGGTTGGCGTTTTTTAGCATGACATTTTTCTATGGTATTTGGTTGCCGACCCCATGTCCAACCCTCCTCCTTTACTCAGGCATGGGAGCGGCGGCAACTCTATGAGAGCTACATGCAGAGTTTAGTGGAATGTAGTATTATGGATTTCACTGTTCTATGAAGTTAGCTTCAAATCTGTTTGCTATTAGAATTTGATTAGATAATTTATTATAAGAACGAATTAGGGACTTCTCATGAAAATAATAAAACTGTTAACCTACAGTAGATCTATAGGTTTCGGAAGTTGGTGTGGTTATGACGTAAGTAATCCTATCTATTTAGACATTTCACTATCATTTAACTATCAGACCTGAAGTGGAAGTTAACACAATGGATTATGCTAATACATGTCTTCATTAATAACACAAACATCCCCAAACTTTCCATTTTCGTGTGTGTTCAGGTGATTTATCTACGAGTATAAGTTCTAACTGAACAGCGTTTGACAATGAAGTTTTTCTGTTTGTAAATGTATAGTCGTATTCCAAAATATGTTAGTGTGGAGAGTCAATGTTACTTAGTGTGAAATTGTAAATCGGATTTTGATTAGCTTTCAGGTTATTGTGATTGGAAACGTTAGGATTAATCAGTACTACTCAGGTGTTGGATTCTATAAGATGGAATTTTGTAGTTTATGAAATTTCCGTTCTACTACCTAGATAACTAGTCCTGACTATGTGCATATAAAATGATAAATAGAAAGAAACAAAATATCTAGATTGAGATTAAGATGTACAGTCTAAAATCCCTAGATAATGTGGACTTCTGAACTGCTAAATCAGAAAATGAGATTTGACAGTAGAAAATCATACACATCAAATTGGACGTATTTCAGATGTTTGACAGTGATTTGTCAGCAATGTCACTAGATCACATGCTTTCGGAGGTCAGGTTGTGTTTTTCCTATTGTCAATTAATTTTGTATGCAATATTTTGCTGTTTGTTTGTTCTGACAAATCACGTCTTTATGAGACAAGTGGCGTATCAGAAAGCTATGATGGTCGAGAATTTTGTCGTCACCTATTTCGTGACCATTTCTTACTGGGGAAATCCACATAAATTTGTCTAAATATTTTCACAAATGCAGTGCTAAACATAGCTTGATCTTTATAATCATTTTCTACCCCTATTTCACAGAATTGTGGTCATCTATGTTATATCCAGTAACTCAAACTGAGCAAGAGTGCAAAGTGTTGTTTCACTACTTAGTGTCTTCAATGAGACATGTGATAGCAACACCTTTGACTGGAAAACATTTCTCTTAGTTGAACTACATTGGTGCATCTGAGAAATTCAAACTCGGAATGAAATAGTGGGAACTAATTGACTGTAATTAATCCAACATATAAATACATTTTTCAGTTGAATTAATAAAAGTAACCAACAGTTTTAACCACACTATTATAAAGGGTGAGTTTAACATGGTGGTAGATCACCTTAATTCTTGTTCCTTATTGTAGTTATTTATTACAAACAGTTCCAAGATGTGACACGGAGAGTTAATTCACTTTAATTACTATTTCTCCGTAACGTAATAAACAATGAAAATAATGGTGAAAGAACCTTTATTCACTGGAGCATACCAGATAGACAATAGAAAACGCCTAAATACCGGTGTCTTATATTCATTCAATTTGTTATCCTTAAATTATCTGCAGGCTAAATTATATCAATGCTTTATTACAATATGACAGATATCAATTGTTTCAGTAAAGAGCCATGGTTGTATTAAATAAAACAAGATATCAACGACCTCTTAGAGAACACCATTTTGTATTGTTCACTTATCAGGTCAACATAAAACAATGTTTTTTTTGAGTCACCTGGTTACCAAAGTGTTAGTTTTTTTCACTTACCTTAAGGACAACTTTGCAAGTAGTACAGTGTATCACAGTTTCGTCCCAGGTTCTCTTCATGCTTTCAACTCACTATCGCCCAAAATACTAAAGTCTCGTTAATCATCTTCATGTTTTTGGTCAGTATAAGAATATGTAGGAATAATTGTTACTATTGGAGTGTTCAAGTGGTGACCTAAATCTATGGTTTACTTAGCTGCTAACAAGCTCCGAATAATACACAACCAGCGTTTCCTATCGACTATCCTCAACCACCTAACAAATTTCTGTGTGATATAGATGCATAAGTAACACAAAATGTGGTATAATTGTTTGAACTGAGCAGTTACATGACATTTATTTCACTTGTGGTATACAGTATAGACATCAGTTATTAACTATTTATGTATAGAATTCGGAATCGCTAGTCAAATTGAATTAATGTGACTCAAACGATAGAGGAAGCGGTCAACTATAATCACAGTCAAATTAAACTGTGTTACAAACAAGTAGTAGAGCAATATCTTCAATTTTCTTTATCAACACTACATCCCAAACAGGTTTGTTCTACCATTCGATATACGTGAACTAAATTGCAAATGATTACTGTGCAAACTATCCATAAACATTTTACCAGACTATTTAAATCGGTACCTCTGCCTAAAGACAGGCAACTAATTGATAACAAATCAAATGAGGAAAGGATCACCTCTAGAAGCTAACACATAGAAAGCCCATAGAAAAGATTTAAGTAATCAGAACCACTAAACACATCTCGACTTGATTAGTTTAAATGACGGTTCTAAACTAATTAAGAGTATTGGCCTGAAGACCTACCATTTGAATGATATAACTTTCAATATAACGTCCAATGAAAGACAGTGCTAAAGATAAAGTGTATCCATAAATTCAGTTGCTTGATTTTGAACTTTAACAAATCAGTTTCTTTTTCGGAAATAGTTTCACTGATTGTTGATTTTAATAATCTTAATATTTTTGGTAAGTGCGAAAACTGTCCAGTAATATACGAAAAGCAATTTAAAATATTTAGACTGTCTAAAATAAGGATGGGACTTAGTTGATCTTTAGTCAGCCATTACTGCTAATGCGTTATCTTGATATGAGCATGTTTGCTGACGCTTCTGTTTGTTTGGAATATCACATCAATAGTGTATAAGAATGATAGTTAAAAGTAAGCTGAGCACAATTCTCAAGAATTTTGGGCTAATTATTGGCATTATTTTCGGTTTCGTTTGTGGTTGAACTGAATGAACAAACCGTAGATCTTAGTCATCTGTTGTTGATTGTGTAGAAACTGCAGTCAGCGATTTCGTATTGAAATCATATTCAAAGCTCTTTACTCTTAGTTTCGATTTACCAACTTTGCAAGATGGAGAAACTTGTAGAAGTACTACACTATGCAGAGATATTCATCAAATTACGATTTTAGGATGGCCAGGTCATATCCAAATAGTACGAATTCCGATATATTTAGCTAATGTATCATTAAAGGTTTGTTGTACTAAGTATACACCTTGTTATCACATCTTCAGACTCAACTGATTTTTATTAACATAAAAATGTTTTTCTTCGCAAGTCGGTTTCACGCACTAAAACTAAAGTTAATGAAATATGCATAACAAATTTCACTTATCTACATATTCTAAATTACTGGTGTGTGTATAAGATCGTAATACACAATATTTTTGACTAGGAACTGTGTTAATGGTCACTACATTAATGGAACGTGTGTATGTAATACATGTTGGATCGGGAAAACCTGTGAAGAACGAGGTAAGTCAGTCATTTATGGTTTAACTAGTCAATATTACTAATAACAAGATAATTTTCTGTTCGGTTTTATAAATATTTGGTTACATTCTATCCTTTTCTTTTTCGAGATGATGGTAAATACTCTTATCTGAAGCTCATAAGGTGTATTCTACTTTAACCTGTTGACATAAGTAGTATATAGAACAATCAGAAATTGGATGCCTGTCAAAAGAAGCTTGAGAAAATAGCACTGAAAAAACAGAATGGGGAAGCATGAAGGGACTGAGAGATGGATGAATCATGAATGATGTAAGGATAAGTGATGTAGGATTTGGAAATGAAGTGTTCAATGTATGGTTTTCACATTTCATGGAAAAGCTCTGTAATTTTGCATTGAACAATAAATTTGTCTTCCACACCCGAGTTCTTCATTAACTACATTACTTGTATAAGAAATAAACATTACACTGAATGGATAATAATTCACATTTCTTGATAAGCTTGTAGTCAAATTTACTTCGCATCTTGTTATAAGAAATCTTGGAAAATCGTCAATTGGTTAACTTAAACAAAATTTCTTCATGAATTGATTCATCTGTTTGTAAAAACGCTCAATCATTTGTATTGTGCATTGGTTACAGTTAAAGAAATATTGTCCATTCCATGATTCATAACTCATTTCTCATTTACATATGTATTGTGAAATATTAACTTTGTAGAGATTATATGCTAACCATTTTAGTACATAGAATTCTAAAATTCACTCAGACAGTATTCACCTTCGAAACCAAGTTTTCTAACTGGATCAATGGAAGTCTGATTGGTAGTCTTTCTCTGAGTGATGAAAACTCCTCCTTAGCATCGTGTGAAAGTGTTCAATTTAACATTGTACCTGGTTCAAACTACTTACCAGTAGCTATCGATGAAACAACTGGTATTTTGAAAGTAACTGAAAGTGATTATGAAACAATGAAAAATAATACCTCCATCACTTTCCAAGTGACAGTTAGGAATGCAAATACTTCACTAAATATATCTGATGATGCAACGGTCAACATTTTAATTGGTGAAAATTATTCTGACGAAGAAACAGAAAGTGAAATCACTGCAGTCAAGAGGGTATGATCTCTGTTTATTGTAGTATTTTTTGAAAATTAAACTGCAGTTTTTGTCATTGATTTCACAATTGGTAAGCTGTCACTGAAAGAGATTCATGACTTGTTTCAATTGACACTGTAGTAACCTGTTTCTTTGAAACAAGCATAATAATATGATCAATGGTTCTTCAAATCTTATCTCATAGTTCTGAGCCTTGATGTTCAAACAACAACAACAACAACAACAGCAGCAGCAGAATATCAACACGATTAGTGGTATGCTACCACTGGTGACAACCTACAAATCAAATGAACGTCAAACTCTCATAAAACGCTACGAATAATTATTTTTGTCAAAAATGCTAACTTAAAAGTATGAAAACTATTTAAAATAATGGTAGTAATAAGAATTATAAGTAGGCATAATCGTCTTTGAATTCGTATGTATTTCACAGTCACTTATCCTACAAAACGATGTGGTGTTTCAGATTGCAACCTTCATTCATTAATGAACTCGATTGAATAATTCCGATGTTAATGAAATAAAATAGTGTTTTCATCAGGACGTTGTGATACGATTCAGCAAATGTGAACAGTAAGATATAGAACCACGATATGTACTATCCAGAATAATTATGATTTGAGGTTTTCAGATGAGTAATGTCATTTTTTCTTCTTTATAGGGCGCCATACTTCCACCGAATACTATCAATGTCACATTTTCCAGAGTATACATCCAAGATAATCCAAATTATTGTCTCTTCGATACATGGTTTATTGATTCGGTAATTGTCCTTCCACCTGGAAATAATAGTTTGATCATGAAGTTTTCTGGTCCGTCACTAAATAATGTCTATTACGGATATATACAATATTTGTTTGCTTACTACAACGGTTCAAATATAGCAAATAATTATCCTGTGAAGTTTAGTAATCTCACATACTTGAACAATAATTCCTCGGTAAGGATATGAATGTAGTTTGTTTAATTTTACTGTTTACAGCATTTTCTGTTAGAGATTGTAAATGTATGTGTAACAAGGAAGTACAGATAAATATAGATATGACCCCTCTTGATTCCTGTCACTAGAGCTTGTTCGTTGTGATTTGATGAAAACTGTGTGAAAGTCTCAGGGTTTTGGATATTCATTGATACTGCACTTCAGAAAATAATGAAGCATATCTAGTAGGTTTCTAAAGCACATGGTTATGTACGGAAACATTCATCGTGAAAACAGTAAACAAACGTGTTTGATTTATGTTCACAAATGATAAAATACACTTCGTCTAACAGATATTAAATGTGTATAAAAATGAGAAATCCCTAGATAATTCGAATAACATTATGTAGACACAGTCAGGTTTTCTGAATTCACTTTGTGTATAGGTATAACCCTTAGTTAACAGTCTCTCATGAAGCTGATATATCGTCTAATGCTTTTCTCCTAGCCTTCAATATATCTTACATTGTAATTAAAAATATTCTACTAGGTAAAAGTTACTATGGAAAGTACACCGATATGTGCAACGACTTATTCCATATTTCACTGAAGCTTGAGAGTAAATATCAAAGTTCTGTTTCATATAAAAATATTCAAAATGCCAGCTGATGCTGATTATGTACTCGAAAGAATAAAAGATTTTAAATAGTTAAAATCAACTATTAAATACTCACAGTGAGATTATGAAGATTCATAACAATGGATATTTAATTTGTATAAAATTTAATTCAGTTTCGCTTAAAAAACCTTCCTGATTTACGTCTCATCCAATAATCTCCATATCTTAACAACCTATCGAAAACCTGAATACAAAAACCCATTATGAGTATGAATTTGAAAAGTGAATGTAAATAGAACAGAATAATCTACAAGATTAGAAGAAAGAAAACACTGTAATATAAGACTATAGTCATCACTGAGTAAAAGTTCTAGAGAGACGAAGGAGTGGAAAATACAAGAACTAAAACAGAAAGGATCAGACAAGATGTGGCAACATCTTTGTGAGGTTCATATTTTAAGGAGCAGTAATAGATAGAATTTCTGATTTTCTATATTTGCTTTGTTTTATTCTATAAATTAGATTTTGGTTATAGATGAGTTGATATACCAAATAATTGTAGTCAATCTACAAACTTGAGGAAATATATGATAAAAGATGTCACATAAAATGACTCAACATCGCTTAAAATCGGTTCTGTGAATGAGTCTAAATTGGCTTGAAATTGCAGTAGTATATCTTCGTAAGTTGATATTATTTCATATTTTTGGTGCCAAATTATAGATATAAAAATGGATAATTTCCTGAGAATTCCAGCCCTTAATCCATTTTTGTTAATTGTTTTCCGTAGTCTTCGGAGTTCACAATGACAAATCAGATAAGTGTTTCATCCGCTCCTGCCAATGATTCAAATGACTTCAGTATTAGGATGCGATTCAAAGTTGGTCTTTTCCCTCAAACGTCGATTCCACCAATAGGTACCAATTTAACAGTCAGAATGGAGACATTGTTGACTCCAAAGATTACCGTAGATATTCCCATGAGTGTTTCCTCGAACTGTCCGATTCAATATGATTCAGTTAACTTTACCAAGTGCCCACCGCAAGTGGAAGTAGGTGGGGTTTATGAATATTCTGTGGACTACTTTATAAGCAGACCCATTGACGATTACGTGGTGAGTGATAAGTATGATACTTGAAAAATTTACTTAATTGTTGCATACTATGACGTGCCTCATTGCGAAAAATTAATTTGTTCATCATCAATATGAAATGTGTGGAGCTTTATGTCATAAGACATTTCAACAGCTAGGTGGATGCATATTATTGTCTTTTGAGGATCAAAAGGATGTTCATCGTTCAGAGACAAGGCATGTAACGAATTTATTTAACGATCACCTAGACTTGCTTTTATCCACTTAACTATATCAAAACCTCTCTCTTACAAAATTGGTCATTGCTGACAGTCAGTATCCTACCTTAATTTACCACTAATTCGTTATCATTTAGTGGCCCGTGGATCTGACTCCTATTTAGATCGCATAAATGTTTGTTATCGTCTATTCTCATATATAATCGTTATCCAATAACGGAATTAAATAAGTCAAATAAAGGGAATGGGATTTTGAATACATATATTTTGTATATGTGGTGAGTGGAATAGAAGGAAGAGAAGCAACGCAGGGTGGAGATGGCTGGTAAGCCAACTCATTTTTAGTCAGGCGTTAATCAATATTTATAGGCAGACAAAAATAAGCTACAGACATTCAGTGAGTCATGGGATATAATGTGTGCACGCATATACGCTCATATAAAAACAGTCAAGGCTAGTAAGCGAATAATTAACAAGGTCAAAATATGACTCAAGTAGAATGAATAGAATGGAATGCCCGAAGGCTAGAATAAGATATATGGGCTTAAAATAATGACTGACACTACAATCATAATAATCCAGATCCTAACTAACAGTAAAAAAATTGTTCAGGAAATTCGGTAATCAAGACTGTTTGTTTCCTCCTCTCAGATTTCGCTAATACGATAAATTTCATTTGGTGATCAATAACACTTATGATTCAATCTTCAGTACAGATTATACATATATTTAGTTCGCTCTTTCGAATAATAATTATTATTGGTTAGTTTTCGTACAAAAATCTGTAATCTAAAGGTGATGATAAATTCAGTAGAACTAGACGAGGCTATTAAAACATACCGGGTCCTGATGAACACTTCAAAATTACAAACTAAATAGAAAAGGTGTCAGGTTTTGATGACAATTACTCCAGAGAATATCAGCTAGAGGAGTACAGATGCTGCAAAATGGTAAAAACCTGATAGTCAGATGTCTGTGAAAATCTGATCTTATTCAGTTACTCTGCTGAAGAATATAATGATTCAGCTGACACTGTAAATAAGTGAGATGAATTACGTGGATTAAACACCATATAAATTAAATCAAGATCATTTGTCAAGATCAACAACATTCAAGTATGTTATAATCATCACCTCTATCTTTACCACACTCAACAAATACACTGAATGTCGTTCAGTGTTTTCCATTAATTTCCGATAATTTCTGGTATGATATTGGAATACATTTATAAACCTTTAAATCATTAGAAGAAATATAAGAATAATCAACCACTCTTTTGAAAAAAACAAGATCTGTTTTAAAGAAGGACGGGTGAATAAAATAAAACTCTATTAAGGTTTATCATCTCACATCGTACCGCCATAAATCAAAATCATAGATTATCTAACATTTGAAAACTTGAAGTACGTTGAATAATCGACCAAATAGAACGTAATGAAGTTGCTAGACTTATTATCCTGGTGATTATATTCTCATTTTTATAGGGACAATTTTAGGTATTGACAGTGTGTTGTTTTAGCTGAAATGCTATCACTATTTCTCTCTAATATCAATGATCATAATTTTCCTAAGTGTTTGACCTACTGAATAGTATTGCATAACACGAATTTTGTTAAATCTTCATTTGGTTGAATGAGCAATTATTATTGAATTACCTTGACTATTCTCCTTATATCTAATATTTTGTAATGTTTAGTATGATACTGTTAATGTTTCAGAAACCAACATTCCTACTTGTAATATCATTGAAACATAAGAATTCATAATTTCCTGTAATTTAAGGACATGCTTTTTAATTTCATGGTCACAGATCAAACATTGTTCTCATTGTTAGGCCAAGTTTGAACATTTCGAAACTAATAATGTATGTATTCAATGATACTATTTGTTATATCCTAGTGAAGATTAAAGTACGAGTAACTTCTGGGACCTATTAATGGACTAATATTATCTATATATTCGTATGGTATACCTATTCAGTAACTAGATTATATATATTCATCTTATTATAAGCTTCTTTTTGACCTACAGATTATTATTGTACGATTTAATGTTCCTAAGTTATACACAGTTTATTAATTACTGTCTCCCACGTTCACAGCCACTCTTTGACTTTATTGTTTATGAATGTTATTTCCTATTTTATGGTGCTTTGCGGTCTGTATGTTTGGTATATAATTCCAGTATGTCTGAAATAAATGATTCGCATAGTAGAGGCTGATGTTGGCATTCTGGACTCAGCTGGACGGGCTAGGCGAGCGACGGACCAATAGGGCGCTAGGCTGACCAGACCGGTCGGACGTCATTGGTTTGGTACACTATAAGAGCGAATAAGTCGTATTTTGATTGGTGAATTGATTGCGTGATAACTAGTGGGCCATAAGGACACAACACTAATTATACTCTTATTTCGTTTATGAACATATTCCACTACATAATCCACATGATGTGCGGATCAAAATGAATTCAACTTGCACGACCATAACTTTAAGCTTTAGATTTAATTATTCGTTCTTGTCTGGCTCCGACCACTTTACATATTATACAATAAATTGTTTAAGGAGATGATCGGGTAAAAACGTTAAACGCCCAGTTTTAGTGCTAGCTACTCAAGCAGATGTGATGTAAAAACGAGAGATGATCATTTTTTCATGGTCAACATGATTTAACTGAAGCACCCAATAATTAGAAGTTATTTTAGTTCTAAATGGCCTCTTAGGTAGAATAGAAATTCCTAATAAATTGTTTGATAGTTTGGACGGGGAAATATATTCCTCAAGCATCCAGAAGCACAAGTAGACTTACTGCACTGGCAAATCCTTCGTAACAGTACCTAAGTCGCCAGTGCAGCTACAACCAACGTTCTTACTGTACGTGTTTGTTTAATTGTACTAAATACATATATTCTTCCGTTGATTGTGACCCTGCACGAATTCGGGTACGCTCAGTAACCCCACTTGTGACCTGGCACGATATCGGTATTCTTTCGATACCACGAGATCGCCAACAAATACATTTCGACTACAGCCATCAACTGCCTTCTAATATTTGCCTTAAGGGGGATCTTATCGGTTAACTGGCACGTAGTCTTCCTGTAGTGGTGATCATAGTCAAACGCGACTCGACGCCACACTACGACTGGTAAGCCCGCTCACACTCCTCGCTCATCCTGACCCATCAGCCA